CAGCAGCAGCAGAGACGTCCACAGAGTCGACAGCAACCAGTCAGACTGCAGGTAATCCAGCACCAACACAACTCTGAGCAGGTTTCCAGCATCTTTGTAGTTCCTTTAAGATTCCTGAAAGAATTAATTTGCAGTGTCCCGCCCACAATCTGATTGGTCAGCCAATCAACACTGACAACAACTTCAGGTAGAATTAAACATGTAAAACATTAAAATCATTAAAATTAAATTTTGTGTGGCAATTATTCAAAGTTGTGATGCCAGGATTTTCATTTTCACTGAAATAGTTTTTTAAACATTCAGCCAAATTTTGCCGTTTTTTAAACTGTACTCTTTGTTTTTAGTGACATAATGTTTTCTGTTTAAAATTCATGAGAGACTGAATCTACATAATAACTGACATCAACATAATCAGAAATGTTGTCGAAGCTATCAGCTAATGCAAGAAACTGCTAGAACACTAATTGTCATTTTGCCATAATTTTGATTGAATTTACGATTTTTAGAAATGTAATAATGTGCTTTTAAAATTAAGTTGTAATTTGTTGTAATATCTGCTTCATGTGGTAGAAATACTGAATCCAAATGATGAATTTAAAGTTAAAATGAGTAAAAACAAAACTATTTTTGTCAAAACTATCATTCAGCCATATTTGTAGTTGCATTTCTTTTTATTTTTAGTGAAACGTTATTAGTCATCACACATTCAGAGCGACGCTTCCAAGTTTTCATCCAACATCAGATTCAGTATGAGTCAGATTTGACACAGATTTCTGTGTTCTGATGAATTGGAGGTTTTTGTCCTCCATCATGACATCAGGCTGCTGACACAGCCGTCCTAAAAACATCTTTTTTCACTTCCTCCTCCTACAGGTCACATGACGTCCACAGAAAGCCACCAGACGTCCTCGTCCAGCGGCGGCGGCAGCGTCGAGGTGAGACGAACAAAAACACGAGCTTCAGGTTCAGGTCATATCAGAGGACAAAGACAACCACAAGATAGTTTAGTTACTTTCCACTGTGCTCCTCTAAATGATTAACATGACCTGACTGAAGTATCTAAAGTATTGATATTTTGATTTTAGGATCAATTTTAGAGCATAAAGATCTGGTATCGGAAGTATCAACACTTCAGTATCGATACGCACATCAGTAGTAGCTAGTAAAGGGAGACTGTGACAAAGACTTCTGGTTTCAAAACTGCAAGACAAATAGAAATTATGAAATAGTAAGTTAAAAAATATGAGGGATAAGATAAATGTTGGTATTGCGGGTCATAATTTTGACCTAATTTCTGATAATTGATGCATCAGTTTGATTGTTTTTCTCATGGAAAAACCAAAGATCTTGACAGTGTTTCTTCTCAGAGTTTTTCTTGAGCTTCAAAACACTAAACGCTGCAGCTACGAGTCCAGCGTCGCAGGAGGATGAAACGAGTTGACGCGGCAACTGCAGCCAAACACCAAAACTTTTCTTTATTTCAAAGCCTTGTGTGTGTGTTTGTGTGTTGACAGGAGGACAGCAGTGTGATTCTGGGTTCTGTGGTTCTGGTGTGTATTCTGTGTCTGTTCGTGGATCTGCTCACCGCCGGCGGACTCGTCTNTTTCAGCTTCAGTGTTGAGGGTCAAACAGGTGAGAACGTCACTCTCACCTGTAAATATGACATAAAATACTACGGCGCTCTGTACGTTTGCTGGAATCGAGGAGACATACCAAGCAGGGGCTGTGGCAACCAGCTCGTCTCCACAGATGGATATAAAGTCAAAGAAGAGAGCCGAGTTTCCAGCAGGTACCAGCTGACTGGACGACTGGATGAAGGCGACGTTTCTTTGACGATACTGAAACTCACAGAGGACGACGCTGGACGCTATGGATGCAGAGTGGAAATACCCGGGTTGTTCAACGACGACAAACATCACTTCGATCTGACCGTTAGAGGCAAGAAGCAACTTGTTCCGTCTGTTTTTAGGCACATTTTCAGTTTAAACATAAAAACATCTGATATGAAATTTGATATTTTCCTTCAGGGTTCAAAGTAAATCTGATGGATAGTTTTCACAAAGCAGAAAACCTTCATCAGACCATGATGTGGTTTACTTTGGTTTACTGGCAGTAATAATGTGGTTTAGTGTCACAACTGATCTTTATATTTAGCTTCAATGAATCTCTGAGTTATCTGCTCGATTAATCAATTAGCTGTTTGGTCAGAAAATGGTTTTGTCCTCAACACAAAGATATTCAGTTTACTGTCATAGAGGCCTTCCCTCTTCCGCCTGAAGTCCAGCACCAACTCCTTAGCCTTTGAGGAGTTGTGCCAGATTATCGAGAGGTTCAAGACCTCTTCTCTGTAGGCCGTCTCATCATGACTTTGACCTATTTACATGTTTAGTGGCTGCTGATCATTTCTCTAGAAGATTCTCCACTCTGTTAAAATACAACAACCTCCAACTGAACATCAACAACAACCGATTTGACAGAAATCATCCTGATTCTCAAATCTGCTGGAGGCGACCCAATCAGAGCTAAAAATCAGGTTTAATTCAAACGTTTATACATTTCAACTGAAACCAGCCAATCACAGAGCTTAAAACTCAATCATGTGAGCTACTTACAGCAAAGGAGACCTGAGGTGTTAGAAAGCTCGTAAGCTTGAGCAACTGCAAGCTGCAATCACACCTGCAGTCTCTCCAAGAATTGTGTTTGTAGATATTATTTGGGTAGTGGTGGTTCAGCAACTACCAAGGCTGTGGGCTACTGATCAAAAGGTTAAATTAAAATATAAAAACTTAAAGTGGGACAAAGACTGAAGAAAAACATCGACTAAATCCATTTAACATTCCTGTTACAACGATGTCGGTATGTATGTGTTTGTACTTTTAGCTTAATAAGGGATTTTGTGTTTGTTTCAAAACTAAGATGATTTTACTGTTTATTTAGTTTTTGTTCAATTTTAAAGTTTTTCCTTATAGTTTCTCTAAATTAACCCTAGGTGCTAACTGGCAGGTGGTGCTAACTAGCAGGTGGTGCTAACTAGCGGGTGGTGCTAACTAGTAGATGATGCTAACTAGTAGGTGGTCCTAACTAGCAGGTGGGGCTACCTAGCGGGTTGTGCTAACTAACTGGTGGTCCTAACTATCAGGTGGTGCTAACTGGCAGGTGGTGCTAACTAGTGGGTGGTGCTAACTATTGCTGACTTAGCAGCACTTAGTTCTTTCTCAAATAACTAGCTGGTGGTCCTAACTAGCGGGTGGCGCTAACTAGCAGGTAGTGCTAGCTAGTAGGTGGTCCTAACTAGCAGGAGGTGCTAACTAGCAGGTGGGGCTAACTAGCGGGTTGTGCTAACTAGCTGGTGGTCCTAACTATCAGGTGGTGCTAACTAGCAGGTGGGGCTAACTAGCAAGTGGTGCTAACTAGCAGTTGGTGCTAACTAGACTTAGCTGCACTTAGTTCTTTCTCAAATAAACAGATACAAATNTCTGTTCTTATTGGCTTGTTTTATTTATCTTTAATGTATCGTCTTTTTCGGGGGATTGAACAGAGTAAGAATTTCATTGTGTAGTACAACTACCTGTTTTGCTGTGCATATGACAATAAAACTTTTGAATCTTGAATCATTTTGAAATCGTAGTGCATTCTGTTATGATGTGACTTCATCCTTAACAGTAGCCAACATGCCAGTAGAGTGTGAGCTATAGATTTATAATTATAACTAAATAATAGAAGCAGGAAATACTTGTGATAATATTATCCACAATCTAGTTTTCTTTTTTCCACATAGACTCAAATATAAAACCTTATTTCTTATTTATCTGGACCTAACAATGAGATTTTCATCAGACTTTTAATGTAAACTCACTTAGCATCACTACAGTGTTGTTAGAAGCTTGCTAAGGTATTTATAGTGGAACTTTGGGTGTTCTTTCTGATTGCAGTGGTTGTTGAGTCAGACAGGGTGACATAACTGTGTTGATTCTCAGGTGCAGACAGAGTTTTGTTCCTGAAGGGGGCAGGAATTGATCATCACAGCCTGGTGGTCCAAATTTAGCAGAATGTCGGTCTGCTCTGACATGGCCGTAACACTATTGATGTGTGTTTTAAGCGCCGTAGTATGTTTAAAACGAAGGATTTCATCGAGTCAGAACTCTAATTCAAGCTACTGATGTGTATTTGGACTGGTCAGAGTTCAAGGTTGAAAAATCGACATCATTCTGACTCATTTAAACTTAATTTAAAAGTCTCAAAAGGACAATATAGATGACAGGTATTAAAGATATGTTGAGTTGGACTTATAACTAGTCAGAATAAAAGTGTAGACATCTGGAACTCATAGTAGATGCAGATGTTGCTGTAATGAGAAATCTACTTCAATTCCAGATATCTGCGACACATGTCCAGTCTAGATATTATCTGTATTTGGTGGTTGCTTCCTCCTGTGGGTCAGTTATAACTTACATCACAGTTTCACACCAACACTAAGTGAATGTTTAAAGTTTCCTCCTCCTGCTGATGTTTGGTTCTGCAGAGCCTCCCTCTGACGACTTGTGGTTTTAACTTTTTCAGCCGCTGTAAAGACTCGCTGTCAGTCGGTCAGAGTTCGTCATGAAGATCGTGCTGCTGCTGCTCGTTCTCCTCACAGGTACTGTCTCTTTGAAAACGGCCTTTTCAAAAAACTTTTTATCATTTTATTCTGTGTTTTTCTTTCTTCGTAACTCAAATGTTGTCAATTAACCAATCAAACGCTTCCAAAGACATGACATCATCATCTGGGCTTTCCCAAATAGTTTGAAGGCATAGTAATCTTAGTGGATGTAAACTTCTGACTATGAAGAAAGAAGTAAAAAATTCTCTAAAAAACTTCTCTCTCTCGTTATTCTGGCATTTAGGATAAGATAAGATAATACTTTACTGATCCTCATAGGGGAAATTCAGGAAATATAAATAGATGTATTTAATATCATTTATATTTAGCAAATTTAAACAATGTTGGTCATCCTAACTATCCTAAAAATGAACAAGTTTCATCTGATTTCATGTCAGACAGAAAAAAAAAGGTTTCATTTCTTTTTATACAGTGAATGCAAACATCTGGTTTCAACTGGAGTTTCACCTCTATGTGCTTCAGGCGCCTGTAACTGAAAATATTCATAGTATGAAGACAAAACTTCACATGGCTTCATTAAACACTCTGAAGTTGTTGCAGATAAATAATCAGCTGATTCTGAGGAGGTCAGGTTGGAGAAACTGATTGTTTTTTTTTTTTTCGTAGAATGACTCATAAAACAACAAGAAGCATTAAAACATAATAAAATCAGCCAGTATGTTAAAAATACTGATTCTATGGGACACGTTGGACTGAAGCTGAGATTTACGAGTTTGGATTTTATCTGAAAAACCTTCTTGTCTTTCTGTCCTCAGTCTCTGAATGTTTCAGCTTCAGTGTTGAGGGTCAAACAGGTGAGAACGTCACTCTCACCTGTAAATATGACATAAAATACTACGGCGCTCTGTACGTTTGCTGGANCAGTGGTGGAAACACCCCATATATGTGTGAAATGTTGCATTAAGAATCACTCTCAGGTCTTCAAGTGTAATTACTTTTCATACAGTCACAGCCAAAGTACTAAACAAATCCGAAAAAAAAGTCATTAAAAACTTAAAATTGATTGGTTCCATAAAAATACATAAGACATTTTGAGTATTGGGTCATACTGGTACCAGTGATCCACTAATGAAGGTCGGGCTTTTTATGAGAAGACAGTTTTTGCTGCCGTGCTTCGTGTCTATATAAAGCCAGCACATTTGAACGTTCTTCAGAGACAAAAATGGCTAGAACAAGGAAGCTAAAGCAGGAAACACATCTGAAGATACAGATTCTCAGCCAGGAAGGGTACAGCTGCCACAGATGCGGTCCTTCAGCAGTTGGATACACTCTGCAGAAATACAGACAAACCAACAGCTTTGAAGACAAACCAAGATCTGGGCATCCAAGGGTTTCTTCAGCAAGGAATGACCAAATGCTGATCCACATGTGCAGGGAAAACCGCAGACTGACATCACAGGAGCTTCAGCAGCAGTGGTCAAATCAAACTAGTGTCCAGTGTTCCACCCGCACTGTATGTGGCCGACTTTTAGATCATGGCTTAAGGTCCTACAAGGCTGTCAAGAAGCCCTTGAGCAATGAGAGGCAAAGGTTAGCCAGACATCGTTGGGCCCCACGCACACAAGAACTGGACAGCCAGGAACTGGAAGAAGATTTTGTGGTCAGATGAGTCCAGTTTCCAGCTTTATGGTCTGCACTTATCTTCCTCCTGCTAATGTGAGGATACGCAGTAGGCCAAGCGAAGCATTATTAACATGTACAGTACCTACTGTCAGGCATGGAGGAGGCAGTATCATGGTTTGGGGATGCATGAGTGCTGCTGGTGTTGGTCATCTCACTGTCTGTGATGGCACATTGAACTCTGCCAAGTATTGTGCCATTCTTGAAACCCACATGCTCCCTTGTGCACGTGCACTGTTCCGTCGAGGTCAAAACTGGATGTTTCAACTAGATAATGCCCCTTGCCACACATCCAGGGCCAGTAGAACTTGGCTGTACACAGCCTGGGTGAATCCCTGCCTCCCCTTTCTGAGACGTCGGATGTTTTGCCAGAGCTTCTTCAAGGCCGACCAAAAGTCCTTCTCCATGGCCTCCCCGAACTCCTCCCACACTCAAGTTTTAGCTTCCACGAACTCCTGTTTGTGGTCTTCATGGACAGGCTCTCAAGGCGCAGTCAGGATGAGGAGGGTGTCTGGTTTGGAGGCCTCAGGATCGCGTCTCTGCTTTTTGCAGACGACGTGGTACTGCTGGATTCATCAGACCGTGACCTGCAGCATGCACTGAAGCAGTTTGCAGCCGAGTGCGAAGCGGCGGGGATGTGGATCAGTACCTCCAAGTCCAAGACCATGGTCCTCTGCCAGATTGCCACCTCCGCGGGGGGGGTGAGTTGCTTCCCCAAGTGAAGGAGTTTAAGTGTCTCCGGATCTTGTTAACAAGTGATGGGAAAATGGAACGCGAGGTGGACAGGCGGCTCGGTGCGGCATCAGCGGTAATGTGAGCGCTGTACCATACCGTCATGGTGAAGAGAGAGCCAAGCCACAAGGCAAAGCTCTCGATTTACCAGTCCAACTACGTCTCAACCCTCACCTACGGTCACGAGTTTTGGGTGTGACCTAAAGAATGAGATCGTGGATACGAGCGGCCGAAATGAGCTTCCTCCGCAGGGTGGCTGGGCTCAGCCTTAGAGATAGGGTGAGGAGCTCAGAGGGAGTTCAGAGTAGAGCCGCTGTTCCTTCGCGTCGAAAGGAGCCAGTTGAGGTG